ATCTAAATGTTATTGTATGGATAGATTAGCCTTCTTGCTTGATAACTAACATAAATGCTGCTGTTGCAGTTGTGAAATCTTAGTGTATGATAGGTCCTGTTTGCACCACTAGAATTTTCCAAAGAGCACTTGGGGATTAACATATCATTATTTTCTCATTTTATAGCTAAGAAAGCTTACTAATGTATTAATAGGGACAGAGGAGTGAGAATAGGTTATCTACAATCTCACTGGCCCCAGAATACCAGTCTCATAAAAGAGAAAGATGATTTTGAATATTATATAGACTTAGCATTGCACTGTGAGCCTTTGTGAATTTTTGACTATTCATGAGTAAGTGTGTAATGGTGACGCTACTCAATAAGTTAATAGAAACACACATTTTCCAGTTTTTCTATATTGTTAATTTTTAGGCAATTCTATTTTTTCCTACTTAATGCATACTGAAAAAATTCTTTATACTTTCTTTCCTTACTGCCCTCCCCCAGTTTTGCTTTGAAATGGAATCACACTCTACAGGCCTAGCTGGCGTGTGACCCACTCTGTAGCTCTGGAAGACTTCCATGCTGCTGTTAGCCTTTCAAATGCATGATGGAGATGTGAGCTGCTGCCACACCTGGCTTACTTTCTGCCTACATTTGTGGTAGCTTCAATAGACTAGATTCCTGTGAATAGAATTGCTTAAAATTGACACATTCAAAGTGTGGGCTTGTGTTTTCTGGGAAGCCAGTGCCATACTTTTTCTTGGAGAAACAATTTTACAACCTCATGCTATTGTTTAACAAATCTGTTCTAAATGTTTACCATGGTACCTTTAAAACCATGGTAAATGCTTGACAGTCAGTTACCTGAAAACATATTTGATAGATGTTAAGATACAATGTCCTTGACAGCAGTGTCATCCACTAACCACATGGGGTTGGAATGCTGGTCGATGTTCTGGTACAGGGGCAAGAACACTTAGAGACTATGGGGGTGCAGGAAAATCTGGTGTTCAAACAACCCCCAAAGGCTTCAGATGTGAACATTCTTTCTTCCTTGACAATAGTTAGATGAACTGTTTTTGGTCATTGTTTTACTAGTTATTTTCTTGGACACTAATGTGGCCAAATACCCTTCCATTTGTTCATCATGGAGTTGTGTTTCTAATTATAAATTATTCTTTGACTACTTATCTCTAGCGTTAAATGTTTATTTAAATATATTTTGATGTAGTATAGTTATTACCAATAGAATCTACTTTTATTTCGATATTTAAGCTAGAGGAGTTTTTCTCTAGTATAATGTGGCAGACAATTCCTTTGTATAAAGCTTAAAGATTACAAGAGTACACTTGGTCTCTCTAAAATTATATATAAATAAACTACACTTAATTTTATTTTTATTTTACATTTCCTTGTGTTCACTCCATAGTACACCTGCAATTAGTATCTATGCCCAATAGAACATATTTGATTTTATTTCTGAAACTTAGGCAATTTTCTCATTGGCTACTAGACAATTCCCTTCTGTTGTGTTTGCCGTTATTTTAATGCATGCTGCATTTAAGTTTTCTGTATACTTCCATGGAGTCTTGTGTCTGTTTAAATTAAAGTATACTAAAGAACATAGCAATTCATTTAACCCCCTCCAAAATTCATGGGAGGACAAAGTATCTGTGTTTTCATTTTAATAAGTAGCATGGTAGTACATGACAGGTGCTATGCTTTTATTCAATTGAAGAATGTGTAAGGTAGTATAATGGGGATACTCCCATATTGTACCACTAATAGGTGCATTCCTTTCGGGGCCATTTCTGCACTGTGTTAAGCATCGTGTCACAATAGCTTATTTTATCATTAGAGCAAACTCATCTCTTTAATATCCATATTCAAAATTTTCTTTATGATCCATAGCATCAATGAACTCCAGAAAAATTTAGCAGGCTGTAAAATTACTCCCATTGGAATTTTTCCTTGAATTGCATTAAAAATAGAAATTAATTTGTGCAAGAAGTGATATTTTCACGCATTCGTTATTGCTCCTTAGTTCTCTTTACAGCTTTTCACAATTTTACTTGCACTGCTATCCATAAGTATTTTATTGATTTTGTTGTTACTACTGTAATAATTCAAGTTATTGTTGCTACTATGGGAAGTCACATTCATGTACTTTGAATGATTTACATTCTATTTATTATTATTACATAGAATGTTATTGTTGCAAATTTACCTTGCAACCTGGGAATATGCTTGAGTTATTTTATTAATTCTAGCAATTTTTGTAGTATTGTACAGTTGAATTAAGACCATTTTGAGCTTAATCTTAGTGACTGCTAAATTGCACTTTGTTCTTAAGGTGGATGATGGGAATTAGGCTGCATAGTAAATTTTTAGAAAGTTGCTGTTGGAGATGGAACTTTTAACTTCATTTTAGAAGAGGTTGATTATAATAACACTGAATAAATACATATAGATACCATGTGAAACTGATCTGTAAATGCCAGCACCTGTGTGAAGAAGAGAGGTTTGCCTTTGGGGGGGACACAGGAAGACCTCTGTACTTCAAGATTCCCTGAGGCAGGTGATGTGTTCTCTTCTGGACCACTGACCACTTTTCAACTCAAGCATTCTCAGCTTCTGGTTTTAGTATGTCCCAAAACCTTTTACAGGGGAGGGAAGCCCTTGCTCTAAAGTCACCAAGATGTCTCAGGTCAATATAAAGCAAATGAGACCCAAGTGTCTCCGCTGTGGCAGCAGATGGCATTAGGTGGATCCACATGGACCTAGTACTCTACAGTAGAATGGAAGACTGGATGTGATGGACATACCTTTCAGGGCCACAGAGGGTATGGATACAGAAGCCAAGGAACGTATGAGAGCTCTGTAATAGAAGAGGGGATCCCAGATGGTGCAGTGTCAACCTGTTTGGATGTGCCACATTCTAACCATAAACAATAACATTCAATCCAGTGTAAACCCCAGAAACCATTTACAACAGAATTTTACTGTTTGTTTTAAAGAAAACTTTCATGTTCTAACTAATGGAAATGTCCTCTTTGGTAATTTATTGAGAACGTAATGATAAGTGTTATACAAGAATTACACTTCATCGGGGTGTTTGTTTAAGGGGTCTATAGCTTTCAGGAGATTAGAACAAATATTAGTTCTTGCTACATGATGGGAACTGACAAGTGATGGATAGCACTACAACGGGAGCATAATGATCCTGAACGATTCAAGCTCGTATAGTGCAATAGATCTTTCTGCATCCTAGAATTTTATTCTTTGGACTTGCACAAGTGTTCTATTTATTTAAATGCATTTAATCATTACTGTGTGTGAGTCTCGCCTTGTGTATATTTTTCTTGCATTTAAAAATGGTCTAAGGACTTGTTGGGACACCATATACCCCATGAAAATGTGTTTATCTTTACACAGTCATACTCTATCCATATAGACAGACTCATCACAATTTTAAATGTAATGATATTCAGGACAGAGCCCAGTCATATGTAATATGTACAAGTGGACACAGTGTTAATTTTTGGGAGGACTTGAAATGATGGATAACTTGTAGTTTGTTCAAGTTAGGATGAGGTTGCCATCCCAGACATGTAACGATTATCACCAATAGGCCAAAGTATCTTTTGCATCAGTATCTACCACAATAAAAGCTTTGCATACCAAGCATAAGACATTTCTCTGTGACAGTGCACTGCTTTTTATTTTGCATCTATTTAGTGACTTATTGGTGGGTTATATTTTCTTCAATTGTAAGAAAATATAAAAACTAGGAAAATTTCTAGCCCTTACCTTTGCAGCATTGTCGAATCCATTCATCTGTGGTTCTAAGAATAAGAATTTATAATAGTTATTATACTGACTCAAGAAATGGGTTCTCCTCTACTACCCATAAACTCATAGCCATGACTAGTTGTCTAGGTTTATAGTACAAAGCTTAAAGTTCCCTGGACTGAGTGCACCTAATGTTCAGTCAGACAACGGTGGGTTACTCCCAAGATTCAAGTGCAGAGTGTTCCACGTGGGTGTAGCTTGTTATGTCTGTCATTGTTGTGGTTCTTGGTGTCAGAGCTGGGTAGAATTATTGTTGTTTTACTTCATTGACATGTTGCATAGCACCTTCTGGCACTGTGAAAGCTAGTCGTCAGGAAAGTGTCTTTTGGATTACAGCCAGCTAGATCCCCTCCAGTCCTAGGTCCAAAGTGTATGGTTTCTTCAGCAAAAGGGATTAGCTTTCAAGTTCTAGGAAGCAACCAAGTGCAACAGTAATGTTTTTATACAAATACATTTACACAAACACATGGCCATACTATGCAATTTCATGTAAATATAAAACAGCACTATCCCTATGCCTTTGTGGAACCTGGAGAAAACAGAAAATTTAAGACCGTGGGGGGAAGAAACACTAGAGAGGGAAACAAGAGGAAACAGATGTTATAGATGGAGGAAGGGAATATGGGTATAGGGTTTTAAACGATAGGAGGCAGGTAATAATAGAAGATGAGAGATGATAGATAAATGACAGTAAGGTCTGAAAACAAGACGTGCTTATCAGACTGTTTCAAGTCAACCCCCAGCAGTCAATTATAGGCTAGTCCTGAGACAGGCTTTCTTGGAATGTGTTTGGTTTGGGTAACACAAACCTAATGAGTTGACCTCATGTTGACCCTTGGTTATGAGTAATAAATGAGTTAATCTATGTAACTTAGAACAATGTCTGATGAAGAAGAGAGCCAGGAGCATGTGAATAGGAAATAAAGGACAATGGCAATTCTTCTAGTGAATTTTCTAAGCTTCAAGGGCCGTATTAACTTGGAATATAAGTAAACAGTATTCTATGGATAGTGAGATGATAAGTCACCCATGTTTGTAACACTGTTAATTGGAATCATATCAAATAATGTATTTGATATATTTATGGGTATTTTATTAATTTAAGTATTTTTGTGTGTATATGTAACACAAAATTCTAAAACTTTATTGTTTTGTACTTTACAGAGCCATTAAAACCAATGAAACAATAAGCCAAGATCCAAGTTGTTGAGGAACACAACACATATCAGGTACAGGAGTCATTCTCCATATATTTATTACGCTGACAACTATTCAAGTATATTGCATCTTTATTAAAAACCTATTTTACAGTTCTGCTATTTCGGTGACCTAGATAGGTGTGAGTGCATACTTAGAGGTGGTTGAGCATATTCTGAAAATAAATTTAATGGCTTTCTTTATATTAAAGTAATATTTGGTGCTTCAGGTACACTGGATATAGATAGAAATGTGAAAATTAACAAACTGTTATTATCCATTGTTACCATTATTAATCCTCTGAAAGGCTTTTACATGATTGCACAGTATAGGCATGTCCACTCTTGCCTTCACAGGACTTGAAGTCCAATGGGGGGAAACATGATATATGCAAACATCCATATGTGAGAAAAGTTTACGATGAATGTTACTAAGGAAAAATGTAGAGTCAGATATGGCAATATACAGTGAAAGAATGGAAGAGTCTACCAAGATTAGGTAAATAGTATATACTTTTCCATGTGCCTTTTAAATCAAGACCTGAAGTGTGAGATGCTCAGAAAGATTGGGGAGCACTAAACAGAAATAGAAGGAGGGAGAAGAGAAGTATGAGGAAGAGGATGGAAAAGAGGAAGAGGAGAGGAAGAAGTGAAAGTCGGGGAGGGAAGGAAGAGGGGATGGGAAGGAAAAGACTAAGAAAGAAGATAGAAAAAGTGGAATGGATAACGTGACATTAGGAGGGTCACACAGGTGGAGACAGACACAAGGTAAGTCTGTAATGAAGAGGGAAACTAGCCTGGCATGACGGGCTCTTAATGTCTATCATGAGGTGGTTTGGGACGAGGTTGCCTTGGCCAGTTTTAACCTGTGTTTTTTCTTTTCTGTGCCCATGCATTTTCTCTTGATTTCCTGCCTTCCAGTGTTTTCAAACCTATCCTTTCCCCAAGTCTTTGAATTTCATCTCCCGGTGAAGTACAGTGAAAACGGGTCACTGCTGTGCAGATGAGTGGTCAGCGTGTTCATTCCTATGAAAGTTACTTCCCTGTAGCATTCCGTATAGCATGGTTTGAGGTAAAGACAGTTTGGAAATGCCTGAAGACTGAAATTCAAAGGTGCCTTAAGCATAGATGAAGAATGCAGATTTTTAGACAGTATGCAAAAATCAAAATTGACACACAGAGATATCTGCACATGTGTGTATGCAGACATGTACATGAATATATAATTATGTGCATTTATATGCTTGGGTTTATCTTAATATTTCCTGAAGCTATTCATTGGATTGTAGTGTGAGCAATTGGAGAAGATTCTCTTGGGACCTGTTTTATGATATTCCTTTACACCTGAGCCTAGCCTGCCTTTAGATAATGAGGCCCATGTCATGTTTACCCTATTAAACCAGTTCACATAGATTCCTAGGATCAAGATAATTCAAGCCAGGATATATTCTTGGCTTGGTGGTTTAGCTTCATCCAGCACAGGAATTTTCTTAACCTAGATTATGTGGCTAGTTGCTTCAAGACATGGCTTGAGATGGAACAAGGATCTCTGAGTTAAGAGCTTAATAAGTAATTTTTTAAAATATCAGTATAAGCAATGTTGATTTTTAAAGTAAAAGCGGCACAGGAAAACAACAAAAATACTGTTTGCTTGGCTAATATTGGCTAATCTGACTCAATTCCTTTCCAGCAAACATGCTTATAGCTGATTTTAAAAATTCTCATAAATTAAACCCACCTCACCCCCCAGATCAAGCAAACCTCTTGCAGCAGGGCCAAAGAGCAGGGCTGATGCCTGGTGCAGTGTGCCCAAGAATGCTTGAGTAAGCTGGGATTCCTACCTGAGGTGATAGAAGCCCCAAGGACTCTGAGAGTTATAGTTCATTTATATTTTACGAAGAGAAAGTTTGGCACTTGTGTAAGAAAGGTCATGTGCTTTTATAGATGAATTCAACATATTTCAATTAAATTGATTATTACTTAAAAGGAAGAAGAAAATCACAAATGATTCCTCAAATCTATGTTTCATCCCCAGAAAGAGAAGACTGGATGCAGCTGCCTTTTAATCATTTCTCTTGCCATTTACTTTCTACTGGAAATGCATTTCAAATTTGGAATCTAACTAGAAATCTTAATTGAAAATAGTTTTTTAAACAAAGAGAAGAAAGCAAAACTGATTGGCATGGAAGCATAAAAGGAGAGACAAACAGAGACAGTGCTCGTCCACCCATATGAGCAAGCACCAGTCTGGGCTTGAGGTGGCCTCTGGGATGCTGCTATTCCAGCACAGTCTGAACTTCACTGAGGAGGTGTCTCAAGCAAGTGAATTGCCTCATTCTCCATAACTTAATTTCTATTTTTTTTTGGTCAGGGAAAACAGTGGTCTTCAATCCTGAAGCCCGGGTTAATTGCCAACTCCCACACTTTCTGTCTGTGCTGTGCTGAACTCATTTTTAACTATGCTCTAAATTTCTTAAGCATCATTAGATTTTCTAATCTCATTTTTCAGGGTAATTTCTATCTTGTCTTGTGTCTTCACTTGCATACTGCCTGTGGTTTAACAGTCAGCCTAGACACACAGCGGTGAGCACCAAGAAGAAAGGAAGCAGTAGGAAGTAAAACAAGAAAGGATACTAACTTTGAGAACATGGGCCATAATATCCAGCACACAGTGTAGCCAATGAAAACACAGAGACTTGTGCTTATTGATTCTGTCCAACAGAGGTAAAGACTCAAAGGCAGATTCATTGATCTTTTCATTCAGACTGATTCTTGCAGATGTTATAGATTCTTGTATGCAGGATGTAAGTTCTACTTACAGTCCAGGCAGCATGTTGCTGAATTACACATGGCACTTTGAGTGTTATTAGTTGTGATAGATGCTCCATTAGCATTTGGTTCGTTGAGTGGCAGTGTACCCTCACAGGATCAGGAAATAAATAACCCCAATTGTACTGTTCTTCGGATTACAAACCGTGCCTAACATAGAGTGAGGATGACACACAGCCTCCTGTGAATGATTCCATGAGATGACATCACACCTATATCCTGATTCCACCATATTAGGCGATTTGCTAACATTCGTGCACAGCCAACACCCTTAGCCTTTGGTCTTTGTTTCCATTTCAGATACTCTATTCCTACTGCCTTTCTTATTCTTTCTTCTTCCTTTTCTCTGCCTCAAATTTTTTCTCTATTCCTGTCAAATACCATATCCATGCATCAGTGCTATACTACCCTGTTATTTGCTTTGTTTACAGAAGGTGTTCAGCTTGACATCATTAGAATCTGAGCTCAGCACAGAGGCTGTGGTGGCTAAGTCACAGGCATTCTCCTGTAGTATCTCTTTACCCTTTCCTACCACGAGAGTGGAACTCTAGAATTCTGAACTCATGACTTGCTCCCATCCCAACTTCTGTGCTACTGGAGGGATGAATTCAGGCTGTGAGCATCAAGACAAAAGTCCCGTTGGCTGGGTGCGTCATGCAAATTGGTCATCAGTTCCCCCTCTGTAATCCTCGGAGCCAGGATCCAGGCCCTACTACCCAATGGGACTTTGGTTCCCTGATTCATGAATTGCATGCACATGATGCTGAGAACTATGTCTGCATAAATGCTCCTCCATTGTCCCCCTGACTTTCCTTTCAATACAAAGAATTGTAGGACAGTCAGATGAAATGCATGCATCTTGCTTTAGTGGTTGGTCTTCAGAATCTTTGGGTGGCATGCATTCCATCTGCTCCTGGTCACTAGGAAAGTTTTTAGTTGTAGTAGCACATCCTGCTTCAAAATGGTACACTGAAAACTTAGCGCACATTAATACATTTATGTGCTGCCACAGTTTAATGAGTGGGAATTGCCATCTTTCCAGCATGCAGAAACATATCCCAGGAGCAGTACGTGAAGTGATTTGTTCAAGAAGCCAGAGAAAGCAAAAGAGGCTGGGTAACTGGGATGATAGTTGGCTTCTTCAGCACTCACTATTTCTCTTGGCGAATGACCACAAATAGAGCTGCCATGTGAGAGGAACTCCAATATACACAGCAGACTAATATTGCATAAAACAATAAAGATGCCCCAGTATAGCAACAAGAAGTAGCCCGACAAGGGCAAGTTTATTACCTCAATAAAAGAATAGACTCTAGTGAGGAAACATTCACAGTACTTCTCAAGGAGAAAGGAGTCAGGGGCTCTGCATGACAACGGTGAAAGCATAGGGGTGAAGGGAGAGACGTGCAGAGTGAGGGAAACAGAGGGGCACAGAGAGAGATGCATTGAGAGGGGTACAGAGAGAGAGAGATGCTGAGAGAGGGGTGCAGAGAGATGCGTGAGGGTACAGAGCAATGGGTTTAGGCACAGCTGCCATGCTGTTGATGATAATTAAGCATGGAAAGGAAGACTGAAAGGAAGCTTCTATTTGTACCGTGTTCTTTATGTACAAATGCACATCATGCACATGACAGATAGGATACTTTTCTCATTGCTTCTCCTTATGCTAAAACCAAGGAAGTCCAAAAATCGAACTTCTACAAGTCATCAGTGTGTTGAGTTACCCTCAGGCTTTAGAGCAAGCAGGGAAAAATGATCCTTGAAGAGACAAGAATGAAACTCAGCTCAGCCTGATTTTATTGTAACTGAACCAGGACTTCCAGAGTCTGTCCCAGATCATTTTACCTTAGTTATACTTAAACACAGCACAATTTTTGAAAAGAGGTATTCAGATAGCAACTAACTCATTTCCAAGTGCACAACAGTTTAAGAAATGTTTACATTAAGATTCTTTACAAAGGATCCACACCCCCTGAATGTGAGAGTCAATGAGGAGGCCTGGGCTACCTATGGGGTCCTGAGCAGTGGATCAGTGTTTATCCCTCGATACTAACAGACATCGTGTGTCCATAACACAAAGAGGGTTGCTCTTTCTGCCTGGACTCTTAGGGAAGTGCCTGGACCCTTCCCTGAATGAAATGATAGACTCTAGATATACCCTATGCAGAAGGAATTGGCAATAGGGTGGGAGGATGGGGGGATGG